AATACTTTCAGAAGTCCACTTTATACGTGGGTTCCAAATATACGATTATGAAGTCCGTGACATTGTTGCAACAATAAACACAGAAGATGAAGATGTCTTTGAAAAGCGGATTTTGAAGTACATTCTTACGCCAATGATCAACAGCATCCGAATCCTTCATGAAAAGAAGAGAGTCCAGTGGATGCAAAGGCACCTCCCAACAACAGTAATTAAAAGGTATGGACAAAACTTGTCACATCCGTTCTTCGAAGCTTTTAACACGTATCTTGAAGACACCTTTGAAACACGTTCAGATAGATACAAGGGATTCATCTATGTTGGGGCGTCAAAGACGGGAAAAACGTTCTTCTTCGACAGAATGCTTGTTCCAGAAAAGTATCGAGTAATCCACAAGAACCTCCTTAGTTTCAATGATGTTGGCGGGGAACAGTACAAACTATTTCGAATCCTAGATGATATCAACTGGGCAGACGTAGACTCGGAAACACTAAAGGCACTTGTCAACAGAGGAGTAGCTACTACTAACGTGAAGTATGGGTATAGTTACATCTTCCCACTGATTCCAATCTTCCTCATGAACGCAAACACGTACGACATCTTTCGGATCAGATACAAGAAAATATGGTCCTTCATCCAGGAAAACTTCACGGTCTTTCCAAAACAAACGGGTGACAGTGTGATTGAAGACAAACAACTCCTGTACACAGGAACGGAAACAGACGCATATTACATCGAAAACTACATCAAGGACTGCAACTTTGAATCACTCTACAACGGAAACAATATGATCGAATCTATTCAACAGAAATGGAACACCATGACCAAACAACTGCGATACATCCCATTCCCAGACACATTTGATATTCCTAATCCACATGAAAGGTATTCAAATCTCGAAACGGAGTTCAACCAGAAGAACCTCGAGCACAAGATGGAAAAGCTCTCAGAAAACGAAATGATGGACAGATACGACGATGACAGAACGTGGATGTCCGAAGAAGAAGACGGAACCGATAAAAATGATAGTTCCGTAATAGAATAATATTTACACATTATGCTTTTTGCAAGAAATAACAATTGATCTCGTTAATCATAACAATGAGCTGTGTTTTGAACGGGTTTGATTTATTAAGTTCCGATTCTCATATTTCTCCTATTTATTCTTCTTATGATATTCTTAATTCTATAAGTCTTTGCTACAAAAACTATTATAATACAGACTGTATACTTTCTATCATCAAAATTGGTAATGAAGAACCAATTGGGATTTATTTCGTTTATGATTATGAAGGAAAAAGATATATTTATGCCGAATTTGAAAGCATGTTCATTTCCGGAACTGCAACAAATTTAAATATTGTTGGGAAACCACACTATTCATTTAATAAAGAAGAAAAAGAAGAAAAAGACTTTCAAAAAATACTCGATACGAAGATACTCGAATTTGGAGGGAAAATTCACTCGGACAAGTTTGGATCCAGGTACGACGAATTTATTCCGGGATGGGAACGAAACAAGATTACTCAAATGACATTCATTGAATCTCTTTTAATTTATAGAAGAGATTTGTATATAAATTCTATGTACAATGTTAATGTTCAACCATTTAAAGATCCTGATTTCAATTGCGATAATCATGAAAAGTATACTTGTAAAACAGAAAAAGGTTATTATCTTGGACTAAGGATTGAAAACGATAAAGCTTCCATTCTTCTGTCTGATCAAGGCAGACGACCATTTGAGATATCAAGAAGATGCGAGGATGGAGGTAACCAAGCATCACTAACAAACACTGTTTTATACGATGACGACACTTGGGTCATAACAAGTGAAGAAGATGGAATTCACTTGAAATTCAGAGACGACGGTACTGGAATTACTCTTCCAGAAGGACCATGGATTGAGGTGGTACAGACACCAACACCACCGGGAGGAACATGTACAAAAGAGGAACAGAAACAGGTTTGTTCCAACAACGAAGCAGAAAAGGAACAGGAGAAACAGTTACCACAGAAGGAAGAAACAATTGAGCCCCCGCAAAAGGAAGAAGCAAAAGAGAAAGTTGCAGAGTCACAAGAAACAAAAATAGCACAACCGCCAAGAAGAAGAGGGTTCTGGTAAACAATAATTAAATACTTTTTGAACTTTATAATCGGATGGCAAAGGTAAACAGTGGAACATTTTTGAGTCAAATAGACAAGATAGAAGCGATTGATAAGAAGATAGAGATTCTAAAGAAGAAGGCAAGATCAGGAGACAAGTCAAGTGAGAATGAAATGGTGAGTGAGATAGCACACAAAAAGATCGAGCAAAACATTCTCGACATCATTACAAGTAACACCCACTGTGTTCTGACGGAAAAGACAATCTCAGTCACCGATAACGGAACAATAACAGGAACGGGGGAACAGGCATGTCGATTTTTGAGAACACTAAGAAAAGGAAAGAAATACTTCATGAGAGAAAATAACGATGCAAACGTGATCTACCACGAAACAGATATCATTGTATTGGAAGACTTCATGAGAATACTTGAGGAGACAAGAGCAAAAGCATTCTACGTCAAGAAGATCGAAGCAGAGCTCAAGAACCCGGACATTTCCGTTGCACTAAACCTCTCACTCAGGCAGCTTGACCCGACCGTCTGCGAAAGCCAAGACATACAGTATTATATCGATGACGCGTCTAACAACCAAGATATCGGGGTTTCTGGGTGCGCTCTTATAAAAAGCTACAATCCGGAACCAACAATCACGGAAAACAATGGGAAAGTATCTACAAATACAAGTCATCTGATCAATACATCTTTGATGAATCAAATTGAGTCGATTAAGTACCCTACATATTACGTCGTTGCAGGAAGCTTTTCTGGGGTAAGAAACTACGAGATGAAAATCACTATCGAGGTTGCTCTCTTTTCAGAAACGGTAAATTAAATTAAATTGAATTAAATTAAATTAAATTAATTCTTTCCAATTATGTGTGTTTCGTTCGGGGATTCGTCACGTATGATTATTGTATTTCTTGCAATGTGTTCCTTTGTCTTTCTTTTGTATATATCCAGAAGCGTTGTAGTGTATTGAGACAGCTTGAAGAACATTTCACACGCGATTTCATAGTCTTCTTGGGTGGTTTTAAAATTAGTTTTATTGTCGTATTTGGAACAAAGATTTGACATTACATCCCATATAAATTCGAAGTCTTTCGCAAGTTCTTTGTATTCGTATGATTCTGAAATGTAATCATTATTCGAAACAATCATTTTAATCAGTGAGACATTCCAGAAAAATTTGCATATATTCTTGATGATACTTGTAAACATAAAGTAGTGTAATCCATACATTTCTGTTCCAAGGGTTTTTCCTATTTCTATAATCATATTTTTAATGTACTCCTTCTCTAAATCTATGATACTAAATACATTAAAGGTTTCTTCAATTGTAATCAGTTGAAGGTGATAATTATTTTCATTTCGTTCAATGAACTTATCGTATGTTTCAAAGAATGCTTCGTAGTAATTGTCATAGTTGCTGAAATCCGAGGAAAGTGCCATTGGAAAACTAGTTCGAGTTCTCGATAAAAATGGAAAAAAACTATTGGATTATTATGACATCCTTCTTTTCACGTTTTTCTTTCCAAAGTATGTACGCAGTATCAACCGTGTTAAAATACACATCAAACACGTTGACAATTTCATCGTACTTGCCTGTTTTCACTAGATGTTCGATTTTGTTCTCTCCACCAATTCGAGCTCCTATTTCGTCGAACAGTTCAATGCATGTTTCAATGTTCTGTTTTATATTCTGGAAAGAATTGATTTCTCTTGTAATGAAATTTTTCATTCCTTTAACAATATAGTTTGCTTTTTTTGCCGTATCGTACAGAGTTAAAACGTGATCCTTCTTTCTCTTGAAGTTGTAATCCAATAGGATTTCTTCTGCTCTCAAAAACATGTTGTAGGTGATACTCCTATTCGACGCCGAAATTTCTAATATTTTTAAAAAGGTCATCGCTTCATATTTTAAATCGGCGTTTATTTTTTTGCACTCGTTCTTCGATTCAATGTAAACCATCCAATATTTTTCTATTTCGCTTTCTTTTACTCCAAAATTCAAATATGTAGTGATTTTTGTTTGGACAAGATGCTTTCTTTTCGACGGCTTCATCAAATGAAATAAAAGATAATTCATTTACAATCAAGAAAATCTTTGAACCATTTCTTTAAGTCAATCCCTGTTTTCTTTTCGAGTTCAGTCCCCAGCATAACAATCTCCTTGCAGGGAACATACTCGTTTGGGTCCATTTTCGAGTTGTCCAGTATCAATTTTGTCCTGAATTCAATGGTTGGCTTCACTTTTCCTATTTCGATGATGTTTCCAAGATTGGGGTATTTCATATATATTCTATCTCGGTATGGATTTCCTTCCATATGAAGGTATTTCCACATGATTTGTTTTCTCTTCCAGTGGATGCTTTCGCTGTTTCCAATATACAACAAGTAAAGGATTCCTTTGTTATCCCAACTGCATTTCCTCTTTACTTGGTATGTCTTTACGTAATCATCCATGATGCAATCTTTGACAATATTAATGAAGTATTCAAAACTTTTGTCACAGAGAATCTCATTGACAAATCCATCGTACAAGAATGGGTATACAAGTGTTGGCACGCTTACGCTTGGATTAAAGTATTCTTTGTGGACAATATATTCCCCTTCTCTTAAGATGATTTGCTTCTTCCCATTGAACGAGTCGTTAAAGAGTCTGATATTGATTGGTGTTTTGAACCAGTTCATTTGATAAATAATTGACCAGTCAATCATGTCTGAGAAGACGCTGATTTGATGACCACTGAATGATAAGAATGTTTCTAGATTCCTCTTCATTTGAAATGGGATATCGAGCTTTGTAAGAAGATATACGGGGAATGTGATTTGAATCATTGCAAGAACAATTTCGTTGACATCCTCTTCCATTTGTTTCGTGTAAATCATTTTTTCGTCGTGTTGACGTTTGATTTCTTTGTACTTTTCATACAAAGTGCCCAACAACAATTCTAGTTCTTGATTCATTTCTACGTATGATTTGTTTTGTTTGATTGCTCCTGTGATGATTTCTAGCCCATGCATGACAAATGAATTTCCTGTAACTCTTTGTGGGATTTTCTCGAAATAATCTATGAAATGGATTTCTTCACTCGTTCTAAAGACCTTGAACACCCTCTTCTTGGTTTCTATCGTTGAAATCCCGTTTTTCTTTGGATTGATTTGCCAATATGAGTCACTGTTGTTTAGCATTATGTTTCGGTAATATCTAATGAGCTGGACTTGGTTGTTTGATGATCCGATGAAATTCAACATCTGTTTTATAAGATTACATCCCACTTTTCATTAAAAATACTAAAATGGAATACGTAGAAATATTCTAATAAATTCCCGGTTGTTTCCTTTGATAAAAATGTCATGGAGTCTTTGTTTTATTTGTGAAGTGAAGTGAATTGAATAATTGGTAATCAGTAAATTATTTAACACAACTTCCATGCATTTCAAAGTTTTGCACATTTCATTGAACTTCTTTCCTTCTTCAAAGATCTTTTCCTGAGATATGATGTTCCCATTGCAAGTGACGCTAGTGATTCGTTGTTTTTCCCATGTACACTCTGTTTGTTGTGACGTGTATCTGTCTTTACTAGGTTTCGCACATGGTATCAATTCCTTGGATATATGCTTCTTGGTTTTTAGCTCGTTTTGCGTTTTTATCATCCGTATATTCCGGCTTAATTGATTTAATTTCATTGTTGTCGATCTTTAGAACGTGTAATGTGATGCTCCGATCTTCGATCTTATACCGGTATCGTCGCACCGTCACTTCGTGGCCTTCTTTAATCAATGTACAAATTAAATACGACTGCTGGTAATCGTACAATTCCTTTGTTTCCTTTCGAGATCGTCTTAATATCTCAATTCGATGTGTATCCATTTGATTTATGAGTTGGATCTCAATCGCAAAAAAATACCCTATAAATACAACGATCCAATTGAAATGAACAGGTTTAATGGTAAGCGCTTGGATGCGGATATAAAGGTATTGAATCAGAAACTTTGATTTTTAATTTTGGTACAAGAAATACAGACAAATAAAAGTAAGAATTGGTATGACTTAAATATCGATTAAATCAAAGAGTTCGGAGAAACTGATGATATCATTTCTAACAGAATCGAGTGATTTTGCAAGTTGTTCAATACTTTTGAGGATAACTAGTCTTTTTCTTCGTAAGAGAACGATTTTTTCATTCTCGTTGTCATGTTTTGGCTTCTTCTCTGTGTTTTCCTTGTTTTGTTTCTTCTTCTTGTCTCTTCTTTCCTGTTGGCTGTGCGTCAACTGAGTTGCAATGAATGATTCCGATTCCGATTCCGAGTCTGACTTGTTGTCTTTCTTGACTGGGACTTCTTCCCATTCATCACTGTCAACTGTAATTGTTGATTGGTCATCATCCTTTCCACTGTTCCCATTGCCCCCTTTGTTGATGCTCATAATGCGACTGATTTTCGAGATTGCTTGATCGCTTAAGTTGCTGCGGTCACTTCTTTCGACCCTGAAGATATAGTACTTTCTACTTCATGAATGGTTTGTCCCATTTTGATGCGCCTATAAATATCCCGATTGGGTTTTGTCATGAAAAGTGTCCACAAGAAGTGTTATGTTTGTGCCGTGGGAGAGATCGGGATGATTATGATGATTAGGAAAGTGTCCATAGTGTCCACAACGGGAGATTAGGGAGAGATGTGGGTGACATCCCGAAGATTGAATTGAAACATGGAGAATAAGCAATTGCCGTGGGGATACTACTGAAAAATGTACTATATCGAGTATTTTGTTATTCGTTTTGTTGTTTGTTTTTTGAAAAATGAAGGGATTGATACAGGAAATCCAAAAAGTGAGTATTGATGAGGAACAAATCCCATTTTGTTATGATCAATCGGTGGATTATATCCCCCATTTTGGTTTATGACTGATTTTGTTTTTTTCACTTGATCTGAAATGGAACGTTGTTCTATTTATATTTTGCAAAAGTATTTGGGCACTTTAAATGTCCCCTTACAGATTTAGAGAGTTTTTATTTATACTTTTGGGAAAGTTCCCTAATATTAGGTAAATCCCCTACGGTCCCCTACGATCCCCTAAGGGGATATTAGGATATCAATTGGGGAGTTTCCCGATTTCTATACTTTTAACTATATTCTATTCTATTATAACTATAGTATATTCTATTATAAGTAAATTGGAATAAAAGAGTAGGAATAACGGGAAAATGCCTAATGATAAAGGGATATTCCCCTTGGGGATTCAAGGGGACACAATGTACTTTCTCTAATAATGGGGATGATTCCCGTTATTATACACAATTTTAAACTAAAATCTCTTGGGGATAGATAAAGGGTCAAATACTTTTTGATTCTATTTATACCCAATAAAGTTTTTTTTCACACTATGAGCACCTTAACAATAACAGACCTCTTACACTTGTTACTTCGGGAAATATTCCTAATATTAGGAAAATCCCCTACGATCCCTTACGATCCCCTTAGGGGAAATTACGTAATAATAAGCATCATTTCCCAATTTCTATTAATGTAACCAATACCTATTATACTTCTACTATATTATATTAATTATACTATATTATATTATACTATACTACTACTACATTATATTATACTATACTACATTATATTAATTATACTATATTATACTATATTATATTAATTATACTATATTATACTATACTACTACTATATTATACATTATTATACATTATTATACATTATTATACTATATTATATTACTACTAATACAACTACAATAAGTTATAGTTTACCACACAATACTCTACTGTGGGAAAATGTGGAAAATATGGGAAAATGCAGGAAAATGCCTAATGATTAGGTTATAATCCCCTTAGGGGTCGCTAGGGGATCATAGGGGTTTATCGTAATATTAGCAACAAATCCCGTTTCCTTAGACAAAAAACATCTCATTTTCTTAGGGGATCAGTAAATGGTCTAAATACTTTTGTGCTTTATTTATAGATCATTTGTTATTCTCGATTATGGATTATTGAACTATTTTTATGGTTAACCACCTACAATGACAGATACAAACAACTTGCTTCAAAATATGAAACCATTTATTGTTGTTTCTTTTAGTTTCTTTTACTATAGTTGCATACAATTGAGGAATCCAATCGTCACACCGGAGTTATCTTTCTGAGATCGCCCAATCAGATGCAGTTCTTGTCTCTTGGAATTATCCACAAGTGGCAACTATAGTTCATTTACTACAAAGTACTAGAATGCCTCAATTCGTATCGTCTCATAACACTTATTCATCCAAAACAGCCAATCAAAAACTTGGTATTCTCATGGAATAATTCTAATCAACTACAAGTATAGCTTATTTACTATAACCTACTAGAATGAATCTTTATCACAATCATCACACCGGAGTTATGATCTCATATCAAATACATTCGCAGTTCGCGGACTACTTATTCCGATCTCGAATCTCAGTCGCCAACAATGAGCACAACACAGAGCAGCAGAGACAGAGTTCCCATAAAGAAAAAAAGCGAAAAAGGCAAGTGCATTAAACGAGTGAAACGGGAATTTGTTTTAGGGATTCTGATGTATGTTGGAATTCCACCAGACATATCAGTAACAAATACTATTTTGAAAAGTACCTTTTATCCAAGAAGTGAAGAAAATGTCAACAACATTGCTTGGTACTGTTGTAGTCACGATGATACTTTAGAAATTGTAACACCTTCAAATGACGTCTATGATCAAAACAAAAAGACTTTTTGCATTACAAACTTATGTGTCATTTTTTGTATATCATTTAAAAACAAACACAAGGTTCCATCCGAACTCAATTGTAGGATCTGTTCTGATTTACGTGTCAATATAAAATATCTTAAGTACGTTGAAAACATCGAAAGCATTGTTGTTAACCGGAGTATATGTATGTCAAATATAGAAACTCAGAATGGTAGACTTGGATTTTCAGGAGCGTTTTACAGTGACAAAAAACAAATGCGAGAAGCTGTTGTTGGCAAGGCATTATCAATGAAAACCAGGAAGGAGTGTGAAGATTTAATTGTTTCGAACCTTGGTGTTACAGAGCTTTCAAATTTTAGTCAATTAATCGAAAAACGGTATCAGACAGTTTCAAGGTTTGCGGAATTTGAAACTTATTTGAAAACACATCAAATTCCATTGAAAGATTGTGATCTGGTCACAATTGTAAATGAATGGTTGAAGAAACGATACACGGAAGTTAACTATCGAAACAATACTATCATTATCATAGGAAAGTCGCAAATTGGGAAGTCAGTAATGATGAAGTGCCTAACTGTTCCACCACTTCATATTCCAGAAGAAAAATTGATTGACTATCATCAAAACGACATCAATTTTGGTACTTATGAAGATTCGCAGAGTGACTTTCTTATCCGTATATTGGACGATCCGACATTTGATGGGTTGCCGATTGAAAAGATGAAAGGATTAATGGGTTCTTGTTCATTCTCGACTTCAATTCGAGTTTTGTACGGATTCAGAAAAGTTTGGCCATGTCCGACGGTAATTTTATTCAATCCAGACTCATTCCGGAATTTTATTATCAGGTTTGGTGATTTGGACTGGTTAATTGCCAATGTCGAAATTTATCCTAGCGTAAACGTATTCGAAGTTAAACAAAATGCAAAATACAAAATTAATCAATTTGAAGAAGAAGTGTTCGACAAAAAAGGAGAAATTATCGAGATTAAGGATGAAAATTACCTTCTTACAAACGCCTTAAACTGTTCAAGAGAGGAACTTGAAATGGCAATTAAAAGTAACGATTCATTCCCATGCTTTTACAATGTACAAAAGTATTTTTCCAATAGAAACAAACAAGTTGTCACTCAAGTCCCTATTCCAATTAGGCCAACAGCACAACCAATGGAAGAAGTCCACCAGAGCAACGAGATGGAGGTTGAAGTAGCTCCACCAGAAGACATGGGGTTCATCCAAACAGGATACTCCCAGCAATACATCTAATTGAATCCTTTTTACTTGTTTACTTTCTTTCTTTTGAAATATACTCACGCAAAAGAACTTAAAAAATAGATAACAATGAGTATCAAATGTGTAAACGAGAATTCCATTCTTGATGAGAACATTGTCACATACTCGACTCACCTGTGGTACGAATATATCTTGAAGGAACTGTTTTCGGAATACATCTTGATCTACAAAACACTCTGTCAAAGCATTTCAGATCAAGATTACATCGAGCAGAAGATAAAACTTGCAAAGAAGATCCGTGAGATTGTAGACACAATCAACGATTTCAAACAAGACAAATCATGGGAGATCCAGAAGAAACTCTATGATGGAATTTACGTGAATTGAATCTTTCTTATCTTTAAATTGTATATGGAAGAGGAAAAAAGAGAAATAACATTGTCCCCTTTTGGGACCCGCGGCTTTGAAAACAATAAAGACATCGATTCGATTCTAATGGAAAAGACTCCACAACAGTTGGTATGTGCTCGACAAGGAGCAGGCGGTAATAGCATGAAATATCTCGAAGGGTTTCGCGCAATAGAGATTGCAAACGCCGTGTTTGGGTATGACGGGTGGTCCGATGAGGTAAAACAATTCATCCCACAGAATACAGGGTGTGTACTGTCAATTGTCCGTATCACTTTGAAGAATGGATGCTACCACGAAGATATTGGATTTGGGTCTTCAGCACTTAAGACCAACCCACTTGAGATAGCAGCTAAGGAATCCGTGACTGACGCACGAAAAAGAGCACTTCGATTGTTTGGCAATTTACTAGGAAATTCATTATATGATGTGAATTATACAAGAAACATCTCACCAAATGGTACATACAAAAGAATTATCACACAACCAGTCAATTACACTGAAATCGTTTCCGAAGTTGAGAATTCAAAAAAGGTAATCGAAGAAAAGATTAATCAAAGTTTCAAGTAATAATTCTGTTAAAGAGATCATGAATTTATATATTCGTCGATCAACTCGTCGATGTAATCCTTTGGTTCAGCAGTTATCTCTTCCATGTTTACATCTGCTACATTATCATCCTTTGGTTCAGCAGTTATCTTTTCCATGTTTACATCTGCTACATTTCCATCCTTTGGTTCAGCAGTTATCTTTTCCATGGTTAAAACTTCTTTCAAAACCTCTTTAACGTCAGCGCTTTCTTTAACGACATTAGGATTACTATCAATTTTCTCTGTATCTTTTATAACAATCGGATGATTACTATCATTTGAATTGATTACGTCCATAATTTCCGTGTCTTTAATCTCCTTTTTTTGACATGAAACGTTTCTTTTTGTTGGAACCGCAATCTTTCTTCTGTTAGTTTCACAAGATATACGTTTCTGTGGGAAATCATCAAACGATTGATCAACACTATTCTTCTCCGAATCAGTCATTAATTTCAATTTCGACTCTAACTTGGGAATGAACAATCGATGTTGTGATACCTCTTTCACTTCTTTTATAGCATTCTTTGTATCCTTTAAGACACTCATGCATGCGTTGTACAGTGCCTCTCTATTCGAGTAATCAAAATCCTCAGAGCTACATTCACTATTGATCCTGTACGTACCTCTCCCCTTCTTTATAATTTCTAATCCGCTGATATAAGTTAGGTGAAATGAAAGCGTACACGTGAGAAATCTTGTCGAATCTCTTTCGAACATGTAGAAAATTACGTCTCTAATACTGTACTCTCGGTACCCGTTTCCAAAGAACATGGTTACTATTTCGTCAAAAACAGACATTTGCATTTCAAGTTCTGCACGTGACCTATTTTCCCCCTCGATTCTAAAACTTGCCATTCATAAGCATAATCTCCATGGGCGATACAACTGAAATTAAAAATAACTTGGCTGTATTTATAGATGGCGGAGTATACTATCAGGCATGCATCCAAATGATTCGAAAACAACGAGAAATGTTGTCGTTTGTTGATCGCTTCTCATTCACAATTGTAAAGCTTTCCGAACTAAGGTCGCTACGATTGAAAAATGTAAAGAACCTGTTCATTTATTATCTTGGTCATACAATACGTAAAGGAGACACGTATTATATGATTTGCAAGGAATTCTCCATCAACGAGGAAGAATTTGCACACGTTGTTAATGGATTTGATGCGGAACGGAAGGTGATCTTCCTTGAGACGTGTTACTCGAGTGGACTTACAAACAAAATAAAGGACGCAGTTGTCCTCTGCACATCGAAAAAAACGGAGAAAAGCTGGGTAGTCTGGAATGGTGGGAAGGTAAGCAACGAGTTGTACAAAACAGACAAGGAGTTCTACACGAGAAGTATAGATTTTGCAAGAAAGGAAATTAAAACGAATCCCATTCTCTCGAATTTGGAAATATACACTACAGATCAAGTGATGTTCTTCTTGGAGTAATTCACTGGAACTTAATAATCATTTCTTAATGGATCAATTAAATACATACAACAGCCAAAAAAGTATCGAATACTATCAGAACACTATCAAAAATACGGGCTGTGGAACAATTACTTTATATTACGCCATTTATCATCTCGTAAAAATGCACGAAAGTGAAAATCCAAAAAGTACTCTGGTGTATTATCTCAAAACAACAACAAACCCAATAGTCAATCTTGTTGCAAGGACTATAATCATCGAATACTTCAGAGACGAGGGATTTAGAATCGAACTGACTAACTATTTCAAATACATCGAGGTCTTTGAAAACTTGTATTTTGATGAAATCGCGTTCAAAGAAGATACCGTCTCTTTTATGGAATATTTCATGCGACACGCTTTGTTCAATAAAGACGTCAACATCATTGAACTTGCAAAAGATATCACTTCCGTTTTACAGGAAAAGTCACAAGATACAAGGAAAAATAAAATGAATGCTCTTGCTACAAAGTATCCCACAATCAGAATTGAAAGAACCCCTAGGAAGATAAACACCTTTAATCTTGGAAAGACTGAAAAGGAACAACTCAAAGAAATGACAAAAACATTTTTATTAGGACACTACAACGATGGACCTTTCAAGTCGGAGCGTATTTCAAAATATCGTGATGCCCTCGGATCGGGAACCGAATTCCCATACATCACATGTAATATATACAACAAAAACGAATACATGACAAAGGAAAAATACTTATCGTACGTGGAACACGTTTTAAAGATCACTGCTGCCAAAAAAAGAAGAAACCCATTAAAGTGTTTTCGAAGAATGAAAGAAAGATGTCAATTGAACCCGTGAAGAAGGAGGAGGAGAAGGAGAAGAAAAAGAAGGAAAAAAAGGAGGAGAAGGAGATTAAAATTATACAAAAAAAGAACTGCACTTTAATTACAGAGAACGAGACTTTGAATAGGAATATCTTAACTTTGAGACAGTCGAAAGAAAATGAAGTGAATGAATTAAATGCAAAGATAACATTGCTTCAAGATGAATACAAGAAACAAATTTTGGGCATGAAAATAAAAATGGAAACCTACAAGAAGGAATTTGATCAGCTGAATTCAAAAAATGCGAGTATTGAAAAAGAAAAAGTAGAGAAGGAAAAGGAACTTGTAAATAAATCATATGAATACGATCAATATAAGGAAAGGACCGAAGGAATTATAAAGAAATTTGAATATGAAAACAATCTAATGAAAGATCAAATTGCTATAAAAGAAAAGTATGTTGCAGACAAACAAGCGGAGTATCAGACGATGTTAAAATCGACACAAGAGGAGAAGTTGAAATATTATGATGAGAAGAGAAATGAAGTTTCCTTGTTTAAGGAACAAGTGAATAGTCAGATACAGTTGGTAAAGGAACTGGAAGCTGCAAAAGAAGAGAACAGAACCATTCAAGCACAACAAATCATCTCACAGCAACAGGCTCAGGTATCTCAGATTTGTTTACAAGCAGAAAACGTAGTCTTGAAGAAAACAAATGATCTTAACGAAATGGTAATGAAGCAGCAAGTGAATTACAACGCTGCAATGATTCAAGTGCAAAATTTTCTCATAGACCTTCAAAGACAACAAATGAATGTGAGACCTCAAGAGATTTTCGATGAAAACTTTTCCAGATATCTCTATGATGCATATAACTATCTATCTTTGAAAAATCTCCTTGGATTATTTAATGGAATGAGACTATTTTCGAAATTCCTATACATTTTCATTCAAATGTGTAAAATGAATAAAATTGAAGATCCAAAGAGTGTTGTCCGATTATTAGGAACGTCGGAAAACATAAAAATGATAGATAGCATTCCAGCTGACGAGGATCAATTGGAAGTGATTTCAAAGAACGTTCAAGAAAGAATATCAAAAACTAACTGAATTACGAGTAAAGTTTCATTTTGTACACAACATCTATTGTGTAGTTTGTAGCATGGTCTGGAGGAAATACCATGTACACCATTCCAAAACATATTATTTTCTGTAAAATCGTGTCATTTTCAATGTCCATTCCATATTGTCCATTGTGTTCTTCTTGTTCATTTTGTCCTTCTTGTCCGTAAGGGTGCAAGACTTGGTTTCCATTTTTTGGGTCGTATAACCCGGAATAATAACTCCCATTATCATGGACTGTTCCGGAACACATCTCCTTGATATTGAAACCGTTTCCGATGTGGATTGTTGTGACGTCGTCACTTGTTATGAACCGGATTGTCTTGATGTTGAACGTCATCTTTTTGTCGTCATTGACTTCCCTGACGTCTTTGTTTGATATGTACGCCTTTACCATTTCATAATCTGATTCAGTCTCTTCGATGGTTGTCGAAACAAATCGTGATTCACCGATTCCACTGTCTATGCAGTAGAATATCGCGTATGAAGAGAGAGAGTCATCAAACGAGTTCTGTTTTGGACTGATGTTAATTGAGATGCATTCGACCTTTGCAAAGTCAAATCGTGGGTAGTATTTAGGTTGTCCATTGCTCGAGGGAACGACATGAAAGAGATCCGATTGATTTTCAGAGTCAAATGGATTGAGACACAACCGGAAGCATTTTCCTTTTGTGACGTTGAACTGTCTCCTGAGATTCATTTTCACTGCTCTTGTAAAGCCAAGATTCTTGTAGCTACTTACCGTCATCGAGTTGTCTGCGGTTTTATACTGGAACCCGCCTTTTTTCTTGTTGAATGGTTTGAACCCTCTTGAAAACCTCTCCCGTATCTGTTGTATCTATTGTACCTCCTGTACCTCCTGTAGTAACCTGCCATTAAATAAATAAAAGTTCATCTAAAATGATTATTCCAAATATCTGAATGTTGCACTATAGGA